ATATATATATATATATATATATATATATATATACAGTTGTTTCCCCCCGTTATTGTGTTCTCTCTCTCTCTCTTTCGTTCTTAGCGTAGAAGTTGTAGCTTTGACCCTTTCTTCCCCCGTCCGACTTAGACTCCTAATCGTATTGCTTTCCAGGGGGTTTCCCTTTCTCTCTGTGTGTGTGTGTTATTCAGCTCTTCTTTTCATTCTTTCTCTCCCCATCCCCCCTCTCTTCCCCTGTGTGCCGTTGAGCAGGCCAGCAGCTATTATCTATACGGTGTCCATATACAAATACACACACCCACATCAACGCCTTGTTCAGTACACAGCACGTACTTCTCTCTTTCTCTCTCCCCTTCCCTCTCGCGAACTAGAATTTTTTTTTCTCCCAGGTGAAGCCGCTCGTGTTTCTTTAGTATTATTATTATTGCTACTCTCTTCTTACTTGTTTAAAAAACGAAGAAAAACGCGTACACATACATTTATATTTCTCCCCAAATCTTTTCTTATTCTTATTTGCACGACAGCAGCAGCAGAAGCAGCAGCCATGGGTGGGTGTGTTCTCTCCTTGATGGATCACCGGGCCGAGGGCACCGAAGTCGACGATCCACTGTGCGAGGCCGTCCGAAAGTACGGCCCGCTGACGCTGCCGCTGGAGGGGACGGCGACGGCCACCAGCTCGCTGATCTACCTCAACGGCAAGCGTCCTACCGCGGCGGAGCAGAAGAAATTGGCGAATGACTACTACAACGGCCCCAATCAGACCCAGCGCTTTGAGAAGCTGTGCCGCGACCACCTAGACGACGTCGCGGTGTCCTACCGGAAGGTGGAGAAGATCGTGAAGGAGACCGTGGAGGGCGTCTCGCGGCTGATGGACGTCTCATACCTTTCCGACCGTCGCTTCGTGAAGTACCGTGAGTTGTACGACGCTTTCATGAGCTTCAGCCGCGGCCTCGCGGAGCTCGGACTGGCCCCGCGCTGCAACGTGTCCATCTACGAGGAGACGCGGTGGGAGTGGCTGGCGACGATCTACGGCATCTGGATGCAGGACATGGTCGCCTCCACCGTGTACGCGAACCTCGGCGAGGACGCCCTCTTCTACGCCCTGCGCGAGACGGAGTGCTCGGCGATCGTGTGCAACGGCAAGAGCGTGCCGCTGCTGCTGCAGGGTGTCGGCGCCGGTCGCTTCCCGGCCAGCACGATCATTTATCTGGATAACCTGCCGGCAACGGGGTGTGAGGCAACGCACGGCTGCCGTGTCATTGCGTGGACGGCGGTGGCTGAGTTAGGCCGCAGTGAGAGCGGCAAGAAGCGCGTGGCGGAGCCGCCAAAGGACAACGATGCGGTGGCGCTGATCATGTACACCTCCGGCACGACCGGCGACCCAAAGGGCGTGGTGCACACCCACGGCAGCATCATTGCGGGTATCCTGTCGATGGATGACTGGGTCTACAGCTGCGTGGAGCAGAAGGAAGACGACGTGTACCTCTCCTACCTGCCCTTGGCCCACATTCTGGAGTTCGGCGTCGTGAACATCTTCCTCGCGAGAGGGGCAACCGTCGGCTTTGGCAGCCCGCGGACGCTGACGGACGCGACGGCGAAGCCGCACGGCGACTTCATCGAGTATCGGCCGACGTTGTTCATCGGCGTCCCGCGCGTCTTTGACACGCTGAAGCGGGCGGTGGAGGCGAAGCTGCCGAAGCCGGGCTCGCTGAAGCGGAAGGTCTTCGATCACGCCTACCAGACCCGACTGGAGGCCTTGCAGCGCGGCAAGGACACTCCATACTGGAATGAGAAGGTGTTCAAGCAGGCACGCGCGGCACTCGGCGGGCGTGTGCGTGCGACACTGAGCGGCGGCGGCCCGCTCTCCGTCAGCACCCACGAGTTCATCAACGTCGTTTTCTGCTTCCTCGCCTGCGGCTGGGGATTAACCGAGACGATCTGCGTTGGTGCGATCCAGCGCGTGGGGGATGCGCGGACCGGCGTTGTTGGCCAGGTGATCGCCTCCGAGGAGCTGAAGCTCATTGACACGGAGGAGTACAAGCACACCGATCAGCCGCACCCGCGCGGCGAGCTCTGCCTGCGCGGCCCTTTCCTCTTCAAGGGCTACTACAAGAAGCCGGAGCTGACGGCGGAGGCGATCGACGCGGAGGGCTGGTTCCACACCGGAGACATCGGCAGCATCGACAACACCGGACGCGTCTCCGTGATTGGTCGCATCAAGGCCCTCGCGAAGAACTGCCTGGGCGAGTACATCGCCCTGGAGGCGCTCGAGGCCATCTATGCCAATCACCGGCTGGTGCTGAACAACGGCGTGTGCGTCGTTGTCCACCCGGAGAAGAACTACATCTGCGCGCTGGTCCTGACAGACGAGAGCAGGGTGAAGCGGTTCGCGCGGGAGTCCCGCATTGAGGGCGAGTACCCCGCGCTCTTGAAGAACAAGGAACTGCTGACGAAGGCAGCGGAGTCGATGTCGGAGGTTGGCAAGAACGCCAAGCGGCGGCACTTTGAACTGCTGCGCCACGTGTGTCTCGTGGATGACGAATGGTCTCCCGAGAACGGTGTGCTGACCGCCGCGCTGAAGTTGCGGCGATCGGTGATCGAGGAGCGCTACGCGAAGGAGATCGCGGAGTTGTTTGTGGAGTGAGCGGCGACGCTCCTCCGGAGTTGGTGCAGCTGTGATCGTTGTTTGCTTTTTCTGTTTACGTTTGCCGTGTGTAAGGGGGAGGAGGGCGGTTCCCCTCCGTCCCCTTCTCTCTCTCTCTTCACTTTCCCATTTTACCTTAACATTGCTGGAAGTGCGGTTGGTGAACACCGTACTTTCCTCTCCTCTTTTCTGTTCCTCCTTTTTGTTTCTTTGCTGACAAGACACACAATGATTTTTTTCTTGTTCTTGATTATGGTGATGAAAGTTGTGGGTGAGAGAGCAAGTGTATGTGTGTATGTGTGGCAGGTCACCGCGCAGCTCAGGCAGCGGCGTACGAGAGATGCTGGCAAGGGAACGACTCTGCGGCAAATAGACATGTATGTATATATATATATATATATTTCCTTCAAACACAACAGGAATCAAACGATCATCGGCGGTGAGAGAGAAAGAGAGGGGGGGGGACGGCGGTGTGAACACCTGAAAAACCCGTATCCCGCGCACTCTCTCCTCGTCTACACACACACACCCACTAACAATCAAACAAACAATAATAATAACCGCTTGTCTGACTCACGTCACATCCTATACGACGAATAATAAGGTGGTTGCCTCCCCGAATACGTTAAGTGGGAGCTCTCCCCTCTCCTCTCTCCCTGTCTCGCTCAGTTTTTTTTTCTTTCTTCCTTTTTTTGTCATTATTGTTCTTATCCAAGAACACACACACAGTCGATGTGTAGCACGTTTACGCAGCGACACACACCCCAATACACAACCTACGTGAGCGGCTTAATATTTATTCATGTTGCGGCGTTGTGGATGACGTCACCTTCTCCTTTTGTTTGCTTTGTCTGCAAGCGCTGAATTAATTAAAGCAAGAAAATTTTAAAAAAAAGAAAAGGAGAAGAAGGGGAAAAAAAAGGAACTATGAACCCCGAAACAGCAACAACCGAACAGACAAGACATCTGTTGATGAAGCCGCGCGTCACCGCATTTGAGTTTCCTCCATTTAATTCGCTTTCTTGCTTCGGAGGACTGCGAACAGAAGAAGAATAATAACACGCCTAATGTTCGCCTTTTTTTTTCCCTGTGGATATCTTTGTCTTGTGTGTCTGTTGCTGGCTTGCGCTGTTTATGATGTGGTTGTTCTTTGAGGATATCACAAATATGCCGGAGGGAGAGATGGGTCTCTCAGTAGCAGCAGTAGCAGTAGTGGTAGGTTGAGCGAAACAAACGGCAGGGAAGCTGGGATGGTCCTCGCAGTGACTCTCCCTTCATCGACTGGTCTCCCGGTGCAACGCACCTACGCGCAACCATATATGCTCCCTTCTGGTTGTTACGTATCTTCTTCTTTCTTCTGTTCTCCCCTTCCCTTCCCTTCCCCTCCCGTCTCCGCGTCGTTGCGGCTCTGCGCTGCGTCGTCTCGCTCGACTGAGCGCCAACACCGGCCGGCGGGGCAAAGAAAAACCGCACATCGCCACGTCTTCTTCTTCGTACCTTACGTCATCACATCTTTTTTCATTGAGGTCTTTGTTATTTATTACTACTATTATTTCTCTTTCCTTCTTCTTCTGCTCGTCTCGACTGCAGCGCCGCGACCCACTACAAAACACAGCAGCAACAGCAACAGCAACCGATATATAAAATCATCAGCGAAGGAACAAAGGAAAGGAGAAAGACGCCACAGAAGTGTTCGATCAGCAAAGAAACGAAAACCCACAAAAACCCCCCAAAAGGCACTATGGACACCCCCTCGTACCGCAAGGAGCTGGAGACGACGGTGCTGCGCCTGATGGACGAGGCGAACGCGCGCCGGGTTGTGCCAGACCCGCGTGCGATGCGCTACCAGCAGCTCGGCGATGAGAACATCCCCGTCGAGGGCACCGAGCAGCCGAACGGCACGCCGATCTACCGCCACGCGAAGGTCTCGCCAGCCATGCAGCGCCGTCTCGAGAACGAGTGGTACAACGGGCCCAACTTTGTGCAGCGCTTTGAGTCGCTGTGCAAGAGCCGCGGCAACAAGCGGGCCTTCGCCTATCGTCCCACCATTCGCGTCAGCCAGGAGCTGGTGCGGGAGCCGGAGAGCGGGCTGGAGCGTCTGTATGACGTGACCTACTACGACGCGACGAAGTACCTGTCGTACACGGAGGTGTGGACGATGATCGAGAACTTCGGCCGCGGCCTGCGCGAGCTGGACATCACCGTCGACTGCAAGGTCGGCATCTACCTCGAGACGCGGTGGGAGTGGCTGGTGTCCGCCTACGGTGTGTGGTCACAGAACATCGTTCTCGCGACAGTGTACGCGAACCTGGGCGAGGAGGCGCTGAGCGAGGCCTTTGCGGAGACAAGCTGCGCCGCGGTGGTGACGGTCGGCGAGCGGGTGCCGTCGCTCATTGCGATGATGCGCCGCGGTGCGATGCCGTCCTGCATTCTCATCTACCTGGATGACCTGCCGGAGGGGATTGACTCGGAGGGGGTGACGCTGAAGGCGTGGGAGGACGTGGTGCGGGACGGCGGCCTGTCCGCCTATCCGAACATGCTGCCGACGAAGAACGATGCAGTGGCGCTGATCATGTACACCTCCGGCACGACCGGCGGACCGAAGGGCGTGGTGCACACCTTCGGCAGCATCACGGCGGGGATTAACGGCATGGGCGGGCGGCTGAACGAGCTGTGCGGCCCGCAGGAGCCTGACGAGCGCTACGTCGCCGCCCTGCCCCTCGCGCACATCTTCGAGTTCGCCGTGGCAAACATCTTCCTTACGCGCGGGTGCTGGATCGGCTTCGGACACCCCCGCACGCTGCTCAGCACCTACGCACGTCCGCACGGCGACCTCGTCGAGTTCAAGCCGATCTTCCTCATCGGCGTGCCGCGCATCTTCGACAACTACAAGAAGACGATGGAGGCGAGCCTGGCCCCGCGCGGGTCGCTGGAGCGCAAGATCTTCGACCACGCCTTCGCCTCCCGCCTGAAGTACCTCCGTAGCGGCATGGAGACCCCCTTCTGGAATGAGGTGGTATTCGCCCCGCTGCGCGAGATGGTCGGCGGCCGGGTGCGCAGCATGTTCGGCGGCGGCGGCCCGATCAGCGCGCCGACGCAGAACTTCATGAACGTCATCCTGGGCGGCTTCATCCAGGGCTGGGGTCTCACGGAAACGATCGGCAACGGCGCGAAGCAGCTGGTCGGCGACTTGGAGCCCGTCTGTGTCGGTCAGCTGGAGCTTGCCTGCGAGTTCAAGCTGGTCGATACGGAGGACTACAAGCACACGGACATCCCCGAGCCGCGCGGCGAGATCTGCCTGCGCGGTCCGATGCAGTTCAAGGGCTACTACAAGAAGGAGGCGGTGACGAAGGCGGTGATCGACGAGGAGGGCTGGTTCCACACCGGCGACGTCGGCGCGGTGGCCGACCGCGGTCGCCTGCGCATTGTGAGCCGCATCAAGTCGCTGGCGAAGAACGCGTTGGGCGAGTACATCCCGATGGAGAACCTGGAGTCCCTCTACGCGCAGTCCAGCCTCTGCGTGCCGAATGGTGTGTGTGTCGTGGTGAACCCGTCGAAGTACTACGTCTGCGCCATCGCCTGCACGACGGAGAGCAAGGCGATCATGTTCGCGCAGGAGCACGGGGTTAAAGGCGGGTGGCCGGCGCTGCTGAAGAACCCCGAGTTCCATCGCTGCGCAACGGAGGCGTTCCGCGAGATGGCAGTGCACGCAGGACGTGGTAAGCAGGAGATCGTGCGCTACGTGCGCGTGGTGGCGGATGAGTGGAGCTCGGAGAATGGGATGTTGACGGCGGCTGGTAAGCTGAAGCGCCACGCCGTCGCGGAGTTCTACAAGGACATCATTCGCACCATGTATGTGGACTAGGAAAAAGAGAAAGGGGGAAAATCAGTCGAACGCAGCGAAGTGGGAGGCAACAAGCAAACGAGTAAAGACGCTCCCTTGTCTTCTTCTCTCCATCCGTCGAGGTGTTTGGTGCGCGGACTCTGCCCCCCACCGCTGTTGTGGTTGTTGTGAAGCTCTTTTGTTATAATTCGGGGAGGGAGGGATCAAGAAGGATTAAAATTATTATTATTTTCTTGTTTCTGATGGTGCTGCTGCTCAGCCTCTTCCATGTTTCCCGTACGCGAGATGTGGCTCCAAACGTCGGAGAACAGGAAGAGAGGCAAATGACCACATCATCCGCATCAACAACCACAAAAGAGAGGACAAAGAGTGGCGACTCGTAACGCGTGAAAGGTGGAGCCTATGTTGTCGCCCCTCCCCCCCCCCCCTCCCCCATTTTTGGAACTTCAGAGAGCTCGTTTCTAATAGTTATTTTATCATATATATATTGCTTGTTTGCTTTTGTTGATTTACTTATTTAAGGATGCAATTGTTTTTTTCTTCTTTCTTTCTTCCATTGCTTTTCCTCTTCTTCCTCATTCTTTTGACCAGTAGGCTTCGAAAAAAATGGTGCACAGACAAATATATATGTATGTATGGCCTAATGGTGTCGCTCGCCAGCCGCAACAACTCTCTGTGTGAAACGAGGAGTGAAGGGAACGAAGGAAAATGGAAAAAAGGGGAGCTTGTACATCACAACGCCTGTGCGGCTCATCACCGTTGTTATCGCCTCTTCTTTTTGACTGTTTTTAATTTGTGATGTCTGTCTGTTTTGTTTGTTCTAGTTTCTCTTGCTAAGCGGAGTGGCGCTGTGCATGTAGCGGTAACGGAGAAGAATTTCCCGTTGCAGCACTTCGCTGCCACGGCTGTTTTATTATTGTGGTGATTTCTGTAAGTATCGGGATGTCCTTTGCTCCTTTTTTTTACTTTTTCTCTTCTTGCTGGTGGGGTGCTCCTTCCCCTCGTCTTCTTCTCTCTTCTCTTTGCTCTCCCTCCCGACGGCGTTGTCGTGCTTGTCGTCGCCCCCGCACCCGCGAAGGTCTTCTTTTCTTGGTGTTGTTGTTGGTGGTGGTTTTTGCTTTAGAGCGAGTTTCTTATATGTGTGTGTGTGTGTGTGTGCTTTGGCCTCGTTGGTGTCGCCTCAAGAGCTATTCCTCACGGCGTTGGTGTCGGTTGTATATATGCGGCAAAAGAGAAACGGTGCCGAATACAATTTGAATGAGAGTGCGTCGTGCATCGCGGCAGGGAAGCGGGTCAACGAACCCCCCTCCTTTAAAAAAAAGGAGGAACTCAAAGTCAGCGGATCGCTGTTGATATTCCTGTTGTACCATAGTGATGCGCCTCTTTTTATTATTCTTGTATTGTTTACTGCTGAATGCCTCGCACTTGTTGTCGACATCGCGGCATGGCTGCGGGTACGTGCCGACCGCGACGCGACGCCGCCCCCTCCACCTGCATGGACGACCTCCTCGCCGTCCGTTGCTCACTGTCGTCTCTTTCTCTCCTTCGTTCTTCCTTCTTCCCCCCCCCCCTTCCGGCCTGGGCCCCCGCCTCACATACGCACGTGCGCCCACGTCGCCTTTCTTCGGTGTCTCGGCATCATTGCAAGAAAATCGTCATCGTAAAACGCGCAATACATTTTTTTTCCCCCTTTTTACCTCCCGTCAAAGCCCTCTGGAACACCGACACCCCCGACGTGTGTGTGTCTGCTTCTCAAGCCTGAAAAGCAGCAGAGAGAGGAAAAGAGAGGAGAGAAGAACGAGCCGATCGTCCACCACGCATCAACGGAGGACGCGTCAAACCCACGTTTTCATTTCCGGAGAGCAAAAGCATAGAAGGGACACCCTCAAAATCAAATAAGAAAATATATATATATATATATAAAGATGGACGCCCCCGAGTATCGCGCGAAGCTCGCTGCGACGGTGCTGCAGCTGATGGAGGAGGAAAACGCCCGCCACGTCGCGGCAGACCCGCAGATGATGCTCTACAGCCGACTCGGTGACGAGGCCCTGCCGGTCGAGGGCACCGAGCAGCAGGACGGCACGCCGGTCTACCATCACGCGAAGGTCCGCGATGGAAGCGCCTTTGACGACGTCGCGCACGAGTGGTACAACGGGCCCAACTTTGTGCAGCGCTTTGAATCCATCTGCAGGAGCCGCGGCAACAAGCGGGCCTTCGCCTATCGTCCCACCATTCGCGTCAGCGCGGAGCTGGTGAAGGACCCGGAGAGCGGGCTGGAGCGCAAGTTCGATGTGACCTTCTTTGACGCGACGAAGTACCTGTCGTACACGGAGGTGTGGACGACGATTGAGAACTTCGGCCGCGGCCTGTGCGAGCTGGGCATCCCGCAAGATTGCAAAATTGCCCTCTACCTCGAGACGCGGTGGGAGTGGCTGGTGTCCGCCTACGGTGTGTGGTCACAGAACATGGTGCTGACGACCGTCTTCTCGAACCTGGGCGAGGAGGCGCTGAGCGAGGCCTTTGCGGAGACGAGCTGCGCCGCGGTGGTGACGGTCGGCGAGCGGGTGCCGTCGCTCATTGCGATGATGCGCCGCGGTGCGATGCCGTACTGCGTGCTGATCTACCTGGATTCTCTGCCGGCGAATATCGAGGCGGAAGGCATCTCGCTGCGTGCCTGGGAGGACGTGGTGCGGGACGGCGGCTTGTCCGTGATGCCGGTGCGCATCCCGACGAACAACGACGACCTCGCGCTGATCATGTACACCTCCGGCACGACCGGCGGACCGAAGGGCGTCATGCACACCTTCGGCAGCATCACATCCGGCGTGCGTGGGATGGGTGAGAAGTGGAATGAGCTGCTGGGCCCGCTGAAGGCGGACGAGTGCTACGTCGCCGCCCTGCCGCTGTCGCACGTGTTTGAGTTTGTTATGTGCGTCATCTCGCTGGCGCGCGGGTGCTGGATCGGCTTCGGACACCCCCGCACGCTGCTCAACACCTACGCCCAACCGCACGGCGACCTCGTCGAGTTCAAGCCGTCGCTGCTCGTCGGCGTGCCGCGCATCTTCGACAACTACAAGAAGACGATGGAGGCGAGCCTGGCCCCGCGCGGGTCGCTGGAGCGCTGCATCTTCGACCACGCCTTCGCCTCCCGCGTGCGGTACATGAAGCAAGGCATGCAGACCCCCTTCTGGAATGAGGTGGTATTCCGTCCTTTTCAGGAAATGGTCGGCGGCCGGGTGCGCAGCATGTTCGGCGGCGGCAGCCCCGTCAGCTCCGTCACCCAAACCTTCTTCAACGTCGTCATCGGCGGCTTCATCCAGGGATACGGTCTCACGGAAACGATCGGCAACGGCGCGAAGCAGCTGATTGGGGATAAGGAGGTGCTCTGCGTTGGCCAGCCGGAGCGGTGTGTAGAACTCAAGCTGGTGGACACGGAGGACTACAAGCACACGGACATCCCCGAGCCGCGCGGCGAGATCTGCCTGCGCGGTCCGATGCTGTTCAAGGGCTACTACAAGAAGGAGGCGGTGGCGAAGGCGGTGATCGACGAGGAGGGCTGGTTCCACACCGGCGACGTCGGCGCGGTGGCCGACCGCGGTCGCCTGCGCATTGTGAGCCGCATCAAGTCGCTGGCGAAGACCTCCGCCGGCGAGAACATCCCGATGGAGTACCTGGAGTCCCTCTACGCGCAGTCCAGCCTCTGCGTGCCGAATGGTGTGTGTGTGATGGTGCACCCGTCGAAGAACTACATTGCCGCCGTGGCCTCGACGACGGAGAGCAGGGCGATGATGTTCGCGCGGGAGCACGGGATTAAAGGCGGGTGGCCGGCGCTGCTGAAGAGCCCCGAGTTCCTTCGCAAGTCGACGGAGGCATTCCAGGAAATTGCAATGCACGCGGGGCGCGGAAGGCACGAGATCGTGCGCTACGTGCGCCTCGTCGCGGATCACTGGACGACGAAGAATGAGCTCATCTCTGCAGCGAACAAGCCACGCCGTCGCCTGATTTACGCGCGATACGCAAAGGAGATCGAGGAGTTGTTTTCTGAATAACGACTTGGGGGCAGCGATCGTCACCGCTGCTTCTGCTGCCGTCCGCTCACACGGCAGCAACACCAAAAATGAATTATCAACACTAAACGGTAAACGGTGAAAGGGAAAGAAAGGAATGTAAGCTGATGGTGGAAGTAAAAGGTGGCTTTCTAGTTTTCTGTCAACATTATCTTTTTTTTTTTGGAGGGGGAGTGCGTGTGTGTGCGTGTCCGACTCGTAGAAAGGAATTGGCAGCATTACACGAATGTCTGTGTGTGTGTGTGTGTGTGCGGCGTAGGTGGCGCGCACGACCGTGGTCGTGTCTGCCTCTGTTGTTGGGTGTTCGTCATCACTTCTACTTTCTTTTTTGGAGGGAGGCGGTGCTGTTGGGTACCTCGGCAGTTGTTCGTTCCTTCACGTTCTCTTCGCGCTTTTCCTCGCTGACGATCAAAAGGCTTCTTTTTTGTTTATTCATCAGCTATTACTTAGATTCACCTGTATCCACTCTTTTGCTGTTAGGGTGGTGGCGGTGCACAGCAGCCCCCCCCCCCCCACCCCACCCACCACCACCACCGCCGCCTTTTTCTCTATTTCTTGTTCTTTCGTTTTCATTTTGCTCGATGGTTTCTGTTTACTTCTTCTTCCTTTTGTCAAAGAAAAGGTTAGCAATCTAAAACGGCTTGTGTCCGCCCGGTCACACGGTGTTTTCTGTCCGCGCGCGGTGATGCTTCGCGTAGGTCCTTCGCTCTCTCTCTCCCTCGTATTTTTATCGTTTATTGCTGCATCTACGTTCTCTTTTTTGGGAGCTTGCGAGAATTATTTGTTTTCATTGATTTGATTTCTTTAAAGGGGGCTTTCTGTTTGCATTGGAGGTTTCAGCGAGCAGGCGTCAAAGTGTCCGTTATAAAAACTGGAGAAAGAAAACATGAAGAAGGTTATCAAAGAAGGAAACGACGGATGCAAGCCTGCTGGGAGAACACAAGCGCAGCGAGCAGCCTCGCTGTCCTTGTCCTTCGCTCGTGTTGTATTGGCTGCGTTCTATACATTCTTCTGTGTGTGTGTGTGTTTTTTATGGGGAGGGGCATCCGTGCTGAGGTCATGCCGGGAAGAACAGGCGAGGGTGCCGTCGTCCTCTGCCGTGTCACACACGAGAACATCCCCCCCCCCCCTCCCCCTTCGCCATCGCCTGTTCTTTTCTCGCGCTCAGATGGGCGAATGCTGCCTTCAAAGAAGAAAGGAGAAATGTGTAGGAGCTGCCGCATTTCGATCAGCGAGCGGCAGTAGCGCGCGTGCCAGTGACTTCTCCCCTCCGTCCCCGCGAGCCTTCAAAAAAAAAAGGGGAGTACAGACGATGCTTTTTATTATTATTATTATTATTTCTCAGCTACCTTCTCATCGTTGCTCTCGTGCGTGCATCTCTTCTCCTTCTTCGGGTTTTCTCCCATTTCTCAACTCCCGTCGGCTCGGCAATCGCATCAGACTCCCCGAACGTTTCTCTCTCACTCACACACACTCGCGGCCACTAAAGGCGCCGTCGTCATTATTATTTGTTTTCATTTATATATTTTTCCCCCAACTCGAAACACAAGAAGCGCGTTGACGGACATCAAGAAACGTTCGTTCTTCCTTTCCCTCGTAACCTTCTTCTTTGGGCTTGTTTGTATTTTTCGTAGCTGGCCTGCTTTCTGTGATATCACAAATACTCCTCGCCCTCTTCACTTCTGCTGCAGGGGAGGGGGTTTCCCTTACACCGTCCAGCGTTGCTTTCCACGCCGACAAGAGATCAGCATATATATATATATATATATATATAGTAAGGTTTCAGGTGTGTTGTACGCTTCTACTGACCGCTCGCCGTCCCCCCCCCCCTCCTTTGTTCTCTTTCGCCTCCTTTTCTACGTTTCTCTACGGGCCGCTTGAATACTCGTGTGCGCTTGAAGCTATTCAGCACGTACCCTCCTCCTTCTCTTCTCTCTCTCTCTCCCCTCTTCGTGTTGTTGGTGTTTTCACTTGCTTCTTTGTTCTTCTTCTTTTAATTCTCTCTCCTTCGCTTGCAATCGAAGCACCGGGTACATCTCGGAGCTGCCTCTGCGCCTTCCACTGTTTACCGCGTCCGTCTTCTAACATCACCTGTTGTTGTAGTGCTGATTTGGGGCTTTTTCTCTCCGTTTTTTAAAAAGAAAAGCGATATTTTTTTTCTTTTCTTGTAAAACCGTGTTGTTGTTGGTGTGGACGTTGCTCGATCACTTCCTCGTAGCACGGACGGCGTGTCATCGCTTTTCGCTGTCCCTCCTCCCCTTCCCTTTCTCCGCCCTTACGGCTGCTGCCGCGGTGTGTCATACATTCGCTGTGTGAGCGTGTCCTCTTGTCTCTTTCGCGGTGCACGCTTCCCCCACCTCCCTCCTCAGAAGCAAACCAACATCCAGCGAAACAACGAAAGAGAGGGAAAGAAAAAATGGGCGGCTGCGTTCTTTCGTTGATGGCGAGCCGCAACGCCGCACAGGTCTGCGACGACCCCCGCTACGCAGAGTACATCGCACGGCTGGACAGGTGCAACGGCTGCTTTGTGCAGACCGTCGCCGGCACCGCGACGGCCACCAGCTCTGCGGTTTACCGCCTTGGCGGCCTCACGGACGCAGAGCACGCGGATTTCCTGGCGGCGGCGGCGGCACGTCCGAACCTGTTCACCGCGCTGATGCAGTACTGTTCAGAGCGGCGGACGAAGCCCATGCTCGGCCACCGGCCGGTGAGGTGTGTGACGAAGGACTCAGTGCCCACCGGTCCCAGCGGGAAGTTGCGGGAGATGAACATCACACACCTCGACGACACCGTTTACGTGACGTACGCAGAGGTGAAGGAGCGCATCGATAACTTCGGCGCCGGCCTGGCCGCCCTCGGCGTGCAGGCGCACGACAACGTCTCCATCTACCTCGACACCTGCGTGGAGTGGATGATCGGTATTTACGGGATGTGGTCGCACAGCATCGTCGCCGCGACCGTGTACGCAAACCTCGGCGAGGCCGCACTCGCGCACGCCCTGCACGAGACCGCAAGCCACGCGATTCTGTGCGGGGCGACGAACATCGCGAATGTGCTGAAGCTGATGTGGAACGGTGTGACGCCGCAGGTGCCGCTGATTTGCGTTGGTGCGCTGCCCGCCGCGTTGGATACGCACGGCGTAGCGGTGCTGCGCTTCGAGGCGGTGGAGGCGCTCGGCGCGGCGCGGCGGGCGAGCGGGGACGCCTCCGCTGGCACCGGTCCCCGCAACGATGACGACCTCGCGCTGATCATGTACACCTCCGGCACGACCGGCGACCCGAAGGGCGTCATGCACACGCACCGCACCCTCGTCGCGGGGATGCACACCCTGGAGCCGCGCGTCCATGAACTGATGGGCCCGCCGGGCGCGTCGGAGGTCTACCTACCGTATTTGCCCATGGCCCACATTATGGAGTTCACCATCGTGAACATCTTCCTTGCCCGCGGCGCCTTTCTTGGGTTTGGCACGCCGCGCACACTGACCGACTCGACGACGCGACCGCACGGGGATTTGAAGGAGTTCCAGCCCTCCCTCTTCGTCGGCGTCCCGCGCATCTTTGACACGCTCAAGAAGGTCGTGGAGGCGAAGCTGCCGCCGGTGGGCTCGCTCAAGCGGCAGGTGTTTGACCACGCGTACCAAAGCCGGCTGGCGGCAATCAGGCAGGGGAAGGAGACGCCCTACTGGAATGAGAAGGTGTTCAAGGCCCCTCGCGAGGTGCTCGGCGGCAACCTGAAGGTCATGCTGAGCGGCGGCGGCCCGCTGTCCGCCACCACGCATGATTTTGTGAACGTTGTCTTCGGCCGCATCGTGATCGGCTACGGTTTGACAGAGACGGTCTGCACGGGTGGTATTCAAATCAGCGGTGATACGCAGACGAACATGACAGGCTTGATGGAGCCCGGGCAGGAGCTGAAGCTCGTTGACACGGAGGAGTACAAGCACACCGATCAGCCGCACCCGCGCGGCGAGATGTGCGTGCGCGGCCCCTTCCTGTTCAAGGGCTACTACAAGAAGCCGGAGCTGACGGCGGAGGCGATCGACGCGGAGGGCTGGTTCCACACCGGCGACATCGGCAGCTACACCGAAGAAGGGAAAATGTGTATTGTCGGTCGCATCAAGGCCCTCGCGAAGAACTGCCTGGGCGAGTACATCGCCCTGGAGGCGCTCGAGGCCGTCTACGCGGGGAACGAGCTGCTGCAGCCCAACGGCGTCTGCGTGCTCGTCCACCCCGACAAGCCGTACATCGCCGCCCTGGCGCTGACGGACGAGACGCGGGCCACGAAGTTCGCGGCGTCGCGCGGGATTCCGGGAAGCTACCCTGCCATGCTGGCGGACCCACGTTTTCATGCGGAGGCGGCGAAGTCGCTCGCCGAGACGGCCCGTGCGTGCCGCCGCGCCTCCTTCGAGTGTGTGAAGCGAGTGCGCGTGTTCGATGACGAGTGGACCCCCGAGAACAACATCCTGACCGCCGCCATGAAGCTGAAGCGACGGTCCATCGACGAGCGCTACGCCGACACCATTGACGAGCTGTTTGCGGAGGACTAAACTATTCCTGCTTCTGTTTGGTGTTGTGTGTGTGGATGTGGGGAGTTTTTTTGTTCTTGCTTGTCGGACTGCGGCTTTTTCTTTCCATTTCGTGACGTCCACCGGTGCTTCATTATTATTATTATTAGTACTAGTATGATTATTAGATGACCCCCTTGTTGTTTCTGTTTCTTTCAATGCCGCCCCTCAACAAGAGTTGTTTCATCGTTACCTGTTCGCCCTTTCCCTCTCTCTCTCTCTCGCCTCCCCCCCCCC